ACATCTAAACCCTGCCCCGACCCCGAAACCCTCAGATGTTTCGGAGCCAGAAGCAGGAGGGGGGAAGGGGGGTGACCAGACTGAACCACAGTAGGGGAAGGACGAAGGGGGTGCAGACTGAACCAGGGCCCAAAGCTACCAACACCCACAAGTCCCTATAACCAAAACAAGCAGCCTTGGGGCTTCTGGGTCAGCAACCAATTGAGCGCATTGCAACAACCTAAACCTAACGTGCAATGCCTGCACCTCCTGTACCCGAATCTTGTCATCAGTAGACTGGGTAAACTGAGTCACCAGCAAGCAACAAAACTTGCAGGACTCTGGGTCGAAAGCATCACCGACCCAGCAGACAGCGTGACCAAGGCAAAAACAATGTCACTCTTGAGACAAGGGGACAGAGCAACCCTCTCTCTTCCATAAAGCGAGGGGGGAAAACTCAGAGGTCACATCCATCCGACACGCATGCCCCCGTGGGGATTCTCAGGGTCCCTAGACTGAACTCACATTCAGGGAAGCCCAGGCAGGGTACTGCTAACCGGCGCCCAAGTCTACCAACAACTTTAACTGAATCCCCAAGACGTGTACACTTACGGGGACCTAGCAGGGGTGTACCACCAGAATAGAGAAGCATATGCCCTATATACTGGGGGCAACAACCAAAGGCAGATGCCCTCTACCAGGCAGGAAAAGAAAAAGAAAACCCTGCAAGAGGACAGCGTACCCAGGCGGAACAGAGCCGGTCACTATGAGAGGAGATAACTAGCTGCGCAGTACCCTGCACCTCTACTAGTGCAAACTGCCTCTTACCCCCTATGGTGAACAAGGATGCCAGAACACCGCAGCATACAAAGGGCGGCCAAAAGCCAAGCAGCAAACGGCGAAGCAGAGACAGAAACCAAGGAACTTGTGGAAGGAGGCCCCAAGCCCCAAGGGCAGTACTTACCAGGCACCTAGGGAAGGGAATCCTAAGTGCATGCAGTCCGAGTACTGAAGAATTACTCCTGGCTCGCGCACCCCCCCCCCCCCCAATAAGATAGCCACCACACCACACAGGCACAGAGCTGAGGACCAATTTAGGAGCCAGAGTACACAACTTCCACCTAGCGCATCAGCCTTAAAACTGGGGTCTTGGGTAGCCAGCGCAAGGGGTTTGGGGTTCCCCCTTGCGGCGAGGTGACATGGCAACGACGTGCTCGTTTGCTCATTTTTGTTTGGGGAGTTCTGTCCACTAGTTTGGCTCCCAGAAGTAATTTCTTAACCAGAATAGGGGTTTGTTTTGGGATGCTTACCTTTCTGGGTACCTGACCCGGTCGATGGTAGACATAGAATGCTTCCAACTATATGGAGGTTTCTATAAGCCATTTATTGCTCCTCGTGCCTCTCCAAGGAGGCCAGGTTCTGGCTCATGGTTCCCAGTAGGCCTAAGAACTCCATTCGCACTGACTGATGCCAAAGTTTAATATTAGCAAATTCAGCCTGGAGAGCTCTGGGAAGCCAACGGGGCTCCCCACCCCCAAAATGTAATGTTATGGAATGTGGAATAAAACAAAACAGACCACACACACAACTTGCAAATTATGTGGAAAGTCCTTAAAGAACTAACAAAGAGATCTAGGGGTGGTTCTGGATAGTGGACTGTCACCAGAGGAACACATGAAGGACACTACACTACGCTACACCCTTCCCTTCATTTGTTCACATAAAGGACATTGTGCAAAGAACACATGCAACACCTTCCAACTTCAGAATCACTATTAATTACTTGGACGGGGAAATAGTAAAGAAAATGTTCATGACTTGTCAGAGATCAAAACTGGAATATGCAGTTGTATCAAGAAGCATATCAATAAACTGGAAAAGGCACAAAGGCATGTTACAAAATGGCTTCCAGAGCTGAAAAACAAAGTTATGAAGAGAGCCTAGACACATTAAATATGACAAATCTAAAAGATAAAAGAAAGAGGGGAGATATGATCACCATTTGCAAAATAATAACAGGAATCAACCAAATTTACCACGAGGAATTCCTGAAACCAGCAACTTCAAGAACAAGGATTCTTTTTTTTTTTTGGCATAGACGGTTGGAACAAGTTAAGTGAGGTGGAGGAGGCCAAGATCGTTGGTAGTTTCAAACAGCTATATGACAGTGCTGAGAAGGCGGAACACCACGAGCGTAGCTCTCATCCTGTAACTACACTTAGGTAATTACTGTACATCCAGATAAGCAGAATTCTTACCGGGAGGTTCAAAAATGACTACTCACAAATTTTTTGTACCACAACCAACATAATTCTAGTTTCCACACAATATAAATAAAAAAAATAATTTGAGAGAGAAAATTCAACTTGCCTCATTGTGCTTTGCCTTCTTGTTTGATACCGTAGATCTTGAAACGTGTAGTTCTTGAAAATTTACATAACCTAATGTCCCATTATCCAGATTTCTTTCTAGATTTGGCATTTTGGCAATATATTGGAGCATTCTGATGTTCAGCACATTTTATTAAATAAATTTGTCAAATGACACTATTGAATATTACTGGAAAACTTAGATAAAACAAATCTGATACATTGTAATAAATATCTTAATATAGCTTTGCAGCAACTCCCACCCCATGGCAGAGCTGAGCAGACAGCCACGGGGCGAATGCTGAATAAATGCTCACGAATCTTCTGACTTTTCAGGCTTCACCACAGCCAAAGTCAGTCTCTCACACATTCCTTCTCCCTGCCACCCCCCATACCACACACACACACACACACACACACACACACACACACACACACATAACTTAGTTCCAATCTACAAAAGTGGCAGCAGGGAAGACCCCCTCAATTATAGACCTGTATCATTGACAAGTGTAATTGTAAAAATATTGGAAAAAATAATAAAAACTAAATGGGTAGAACACCTGGAGAGAGATTATATAATATCAGACAGTATGGTTTTCGATCTGGAAGATCCTGTGTATCTAATTTACTCAGTTTCAACGATCGAGCTACAGAGATTTTAGAGGAAAGAGATGGTTGGGTTGACAGCATCTATCTGGACCTAAAAAAAAAGACGTTCAACAGAGTTCCACAGAAGAGGTTGTTCTGGAAACTGGAAAATATTGGAGGGGCGACAGGTAAACTTCTAACATGAATGAAAAATTTTGACATAGAAAAATGAGGGCAGTAATCAGAGGCAATGTATCGGACTGGAGAAACGTTACAAGTGGAGTACCACAGGGTTCAGTTCTTGCACCAGTGATGTTCATTGTCTACCTAAATGATCTACCAGATGGAATACAGAATTATATGAACATGTTTGCTGATGATGCTAAGATAATAGGAAGGATAAGAAACTTAGATGATTGTCATGCCCTTCAAGAAGACCTGGACAAAATAAGTATATGGAGCACCACTTGGCATATGGAATTTAATGTGAATGAATGCCATGTTATGGAATGTGGAATAGGAGAACAGACCCCACACAACCTATATATTATGTGAGAAATCTTTAAAGAATTCTGATGGGTTGGTTCTAGATAGTTTTTATCACCTGAGGACAACAAAGAACGTTGTGCGAGGAGCCTATGCTACGCTTTCTAACTTCAGAATTGCTTTTAAATACACGGATGGGGAAATACTAAAATTGTTCACGACTTTTGTTGGGGCAAAGCTAGAATATGCAGTGGTTGTGTGGTACCCATATCTTAAGAAGCACATCAACAAACTGGAAAAGATGCAAAGACATGCTACCAAGTGGCTCCCAGAATTGCAGGGCGAAAGTTACGAGAAGAGGTTAGAGGCATTAAATATGCCAAAACTAAAAGACAGAAGAAAAAGAGGTGATATGATCACTACATACAAAATAGTAACAGGAATTGACAAAATTGATAGGGAAAATTTCCCGAGACCTGGAACTTCAAGAACAAGATGTCATAGATTTAAACTAATTAAACAAAGATGCCAGAGAAATAAGAAAATTCACTTTCGCAAACAAAGTGGTAGACGGTTGCAACAAGTTAAGTGAGAAGGTGGTGGAGGCCAAAAACTTCAGTAGTTTCAAAGCATTATATGACAGAGTGCTGGGTATACGGGACACCACAAGCGTAACACTCATCCTGTAACTACACTTTGGTAATTACACACACATTCAGGAAATGCCTTTTAACAATATTAGGAGAAAATTTTATGGGAATTTTTTTTCTGCACACCGGGGGTATGCAAAGTATAAACCATGGAGGAGTGCTGTAGTCAAGGGAAGTCAGGGAGCCTGAGTCAAGAAACTAATTACACATGAAACACATCATCTCTGCACCGTATAGTTTGTTCCAATTTTCAAAAGGCTCTTTATGAACAATCATAGGTGTTTCATGTTTCAAATAACAAAGGGGCATTCTCAAGATATCTGCAAACAAAGCAGCATTAAAATAAATAGGTTTAATTCTGTCATGTCTTTACCTTATTTTTCTACTGCTGCTGCTACTGCTCAATCTTGTTCCAAAATGATACCTCATGACAGTAGAAAAAACAGTGGTAATAAAAATAATAATAATGATGACAGAACCATAAGCTGTTCGTTATGGTTCGAACACAGGTTAGAACACAGACGCCGAGTCAGCACGGCTGGGACGCACAAGACACTCCTTCAAGTAGTAATAAACAAAGCTCACTTACCAATTTTCATAATTATTGCAATGCAGTCTCAATACAAATACATATACGATTACTATGTTGTATTATTCAACCATAATTAACAAAGATTTTATAGAACATTTCTGCTCTGATTATTAATCAAATCAGAAAATTAGCTGCATTGATTAAATACCTATATTCATACAAACAGAAGTTGAGGTTCATGCACAAGGATTGTTATAGAAAATGTCTCCATGTTGTGGCGAGAAAAAGATGAACGGCTTCATGTGTGGAAATATGAAGACAAAGAGGCTCAGGGGAAGAAACAACAAAAACTGATGACCAGACTGGATGCTCCAAGGGATGCTGCCAACATACCATGTCTTCACGATCACAGTAGGAGAGGATGTCGCCTGGCATGCCTTCTGTCAGATGACTCAGATCCTGGGGGTTAAAGAAAATATACTACAGGACTTTATCTGGAAACAGGAAAGGGGCGAGATACTACAAATTTGAAGGGGGAAATTTGTTTATTTAAAATAAATATTAAGCAAGAAAAATCACACTCGATATAGTCATAGAAAATCATGTTCGTATTACAAGATGAAGAGGAAAGCATTTGGCCAATAAGGCAGCACAAAGTACATGAAGGACTGCTGGAAGCACCGTCTCAGAAAGATGTTGTGTGGTCTCTTGCTCTAGTGTAATCCATGCTAATTAACTTCCTCCCTTTAAACCCCAAACAATAACAATCATGACAATTAGTTCATCAGAGGAACTTGTTATCAGTTCATACATAAAGTGTGTGAAACAGCCTGAACTAAGCAAAACTATACAAATGATAATCACAAATATACAGAAGAACTTTCAGAAATAGTGTTTGCTAATTTACTTGTCAGACCTAATGCTATTCAGGCATTTGTGATAAATAAGAATAAATTTGAGCCACTAATAGTGTCACCCAAATGTTCAGTAAAAGCATAACTGCACAATTTACCTGCGAGTGACATTAAATGTTTAACGCAAAGTTGTCCAAAGCCGTCAGAACTATCAACTACATAGTATCTTATATATATTTCGAGAAATAGTTCACACCAAGTGGCAAACCCCATCTGACATCCATACTGTATATCGAATTTCATATATACAGTACTCTCATATTAAACTCCACCTTGTACGAGATTTCAGCAACCCAGAAGTCCAATGTTATAAGCTGGTGTATGTGGATTCTAGAGATATAACTTCATATAGCTGTGGCCTAGAACCTTAAGGTGCACTAACTTGGATGCAAAATGACCAAATAAGAATAATTTTGTTTCATGTGTTACATGAAGGCAGCCAAATGCATCAAAGCACTAGAAGCAAGCAGGAAGAAAAAATATTTAAAAAGAAAACCAATCTAGTATTATACAGTAAGTCTCAAATGTATTCCTGTCTGGCTGTCTAGACACTTAGATACTCTACTTATAAAACCAGCATCGAATGTAATGAAACGCCATTTTCTGGGCGAAGCCCAGGAGGCTCTCTGAAGCTATCAGAACTCATATGGGTTATACAATGGGGCCTCGACTTACGATGCTAATCCGTTCCCAGAGACGGATCGTAAGTCGAAATATCGGAAGTCGAAGCGATTTTTCCCATAAGAAATAAAGGGATTTGAATTAATCCGTTCCCCACCTTCCAAAATATTAACATAAAAAATATTTTATACCTAATACAATGTTTTTTTTTAACTATAATACAGTACCAAAGTTACTCTTACCTTTATGGAGGGTTCTTGATGGTGTATGGAAGATGGTAATGAGGGGGGAAGGAGGAGAGTTGTTACTGTTTGGAAGGGGAGTCTCCTTCCATTATCACATCAGGCAGTAATGTTTTCTCTGGGGTACTCTCTCTCTCCTACGTTTTGCCTGAATACCACTAGGACCTGGTTGTGGTTCAGTGTTTGTCTCACTACAAATTTGTCAAGATACATTTGTTTTTCCCTTCGTTTTAACATTTGTCTGTAATGATGCATCACAGTGTCATTGAATAGGTTAAGGCAACGACCTACTGCAGCTTGATTTGGGCGAGTCGTGTCAGCAAAGGTTTGCAATTCTTCCCATGCTGCACACATTTTCTTAATTGTTGAGGAAGAGACATTCTGTACTGGCACATCCTCCCCTGAAGAAATTTCCTCAGCTGTCAAATCGCCGCTCACATTACCACACAACACAAGAGTAAGCCAATCTTTCATAGGCTTGTGTCCAGGCAATGACTTCTCCTCCTTGGTAATGTATGTTTTCTTTGGCAATCTTTTCCAGAATAGCCCTGTCTCTTCACAATTAAACACTTGTTGTGGTAGGTAGGCTTCACTCTGCACAAAATCTTTAAATTCGCCAATGAATCTTTCAGCCGCTGGTTTGTCTGAGCTTACAGCCTCCCCATGCCTCACAACACTATGAATTCCACTTCTTTTTCTAAATTTCTCAAACCATCCCCTGCTCGCCTTAAACTCTTTTACTTCTGCATCACTCGTTCCAGGGGTTTTCTTTAAAAGGTCTTCATGCAATTTTCTTGCCTTTCCACAAATGATGGCCTCCGATACGCTATCACCCGCTAATTCCTTGTTGTGTATCCAATTAATAATAACTGTTCAACATCTTCAAGTGTTTGTGTTCTACGTTTCGTGATTATTGATACGCCTTTTACCACTTTAGCACCCATAATGTCCATTTTCTTAGCCAGTATGGTGGATATCGTTAACTGAGATTTGTTGTACTGACTAGCCAGTTCAACAATCCGCACACTATTTTCATATTTACGAATGATCTCTTGTTTTTGCTCTATGGTCATTCTTACATGGGATCTCATATGTTGAGCCTTACCACTGACTTTCCTGGGACTCATGGTGTGATATATAATTACTTTAATGTTCAAAATGCAAAAAATCACCACAAACGCGGAATTTCTTATAAGCGCGATCGTCACTAAGCTGGCAGCTGTAGTAAACTGAGGCAGGTCGAACCGCGTGACCGGGAACCACGCGCTCGGTTGACCCAAACATGTACCAACAAATATCGTAAGCCAATGACACCATCAGATGTCGAGTCGCATTTTTCGATGAAATTTACATTGTAACTCAAAATTATTGTAAGTAGGGGCAATCGTAAGTCGAGGTGCCACTGTATTAGTTTGGGGTCATCAGCGACACGAGTCCTTATGACTACCGAGAACCATGAGCCAGAACGTGGTCCCCTCAAAGGTGCAGGGCACAAAGGTGTATGAGTATTTTACATTTAAAGTACGTATGTCGTATTCCACCATCAACCAGAGTGGGCACCCAAAAAGATAAGCAAACCAAAACAAACAACTAGCTGGTAAAATTGCGACCTACAGCCAGAAAGAGTAAAGAAACTCTTGCAGAAATAGAATAAAATAAAAACTAGCAACCCTTCACTCAACTAGTACTCTCATTCGTTAGAGTATCCCTCCCCCCCCTCCGAAAAGGGGGGGGGGGGAAGGGAAAGCCGGCCACCCACCACCCCAGTTCTTGGCATGATGTAAAAACCGCCGACCAGAGGGAGGGTATCAGGGAGCCTCCGGGGCTGTCCCAGAAAAATGGCGTTTCATTACATTCAACACTAGTTTTCTGGGGAAGCTCCGTTGGCTCCATGAAGCTAACGACCCACAGATAAGGTAGTTAGGTAAGGTAACCAGGTAACTATCCATCTGTCGATAGCCTCGACAGATGCCCCAAAGCCACACAAGACCAGAGGATACTTCCGTATGTTATGAGGGTAGACCGCCGGCTGGTTGGACTTTAAGACACTGTGGACAACCTGAAACACACTAACCCAGGAAATGGTAACCAAGGAAACTGGATCCACCCAAAGAGCGTCCATCAGCATTGAACCAGTGACCCGCAGGTAACAGTGCAAAGCTGCCATCTCACACAACACATGATGCATCCTCAGCTGAACTAACCAAGCATCCACCACCACTGAATCTCTTCAGAATTAGGTAATTATCAAAAGAAGGCACCAAACCAGGAAGGCTATGTAGCACCATCAAATGTTTGGAATAATCAGAGAGTGCTAAATATCACCAAGGATGCCAATACGAGAACAGAAACGCATAAGGCAAACGATATCAAAAGTATCCGATTCACCAAGAATTCTATCGAGGGACAAGTGACCGCGAGGGACGGTCAGAAAGCAAGACACTCTCGTCCTGAAAGTCAGGACATTCAACAAGAATATGTACGACTGTAAGAGGGAAAATGCAATTTGGACAATAAGGAGCAGGGCAGCGCTCCATTAAGTAACCGTGAGTTAAGTGTGTATGGCCAATGTGCAACCTTGCCAATGCTGTTTCCCACCGCCGGTTACGGTGGTAGGAGAAGGGCCATAGGGACACTATTCTTAAGAGTACACAGTTTGTTACCAGCAACAGAAGACCAACAACTCTGCCAACGGGCAAGGATGGAGGAATGAGTAACTGGGGTAAAAGTCGGAATAAGGAATATCTTTACAGGAGATGGCACAAGAGTGGATAGCTTTCTTAGCAGTAGCATCCGCACGCTGATTTAAAGAGACACCAAAATGGCTGGGAACCCAGCAAAACTCTACTGACTTAAATTTACTGGAGATAAGAAATAGCCAATGTTGAATCTCGACAATCACCGGATGGACTGGATTAAAGGACATCAGAGCCATAAGGGTACTACGAGAGTCGACTACAACCTCAAAGGAGGATTAACAATGAGAAAGCAGGAGATGAAGAGCAGAGAGGATAGGATAAAGTTCTGCCGCGAAGATGCTAGTCTCCGGAGGTAGGCGACACACACAAGTGTGATCAGGAAAAACAACAGTAGCCTACACTGTCTGCAGACTTAGACCCATCGGTGAAGATGGAAATGGAGCGGGAGTGTGAAGAAAAGTGTTCAAGGAAAAAGCATTTCAGAACTGGAGGAGGGGTAAAAGCTTTAGTGATGTGGGTCAGGGATGTACAGAATTTTGGAATTGGAATCCTCCACGGGGGAAAGGATGGAACAATACAAGGAGAAATATTGGTAATACAAACTGAAAGAGAATCCTGCAAGTGAGACAACCAGACAGAAAGAGGGAGGTGGTGAAGAGGAACAGGAACTACCGGAGGGGTAAAAGTCAAAGCACGACAGACGGAAGAGTGAGGATGTTTTAAGGACCACGCAATGTAGCGAAGACAGTAGCAATCATGGCGGTCCTGGAGAGATAGGAAGCCAGTGTCAACATACAAGCTGAGGGCAGGAGTCTAATGAAAGGCACCACAGCTGAGAGACAACCCAGTAGGGTGTAAAGCATCAAAAGGACGAAGAGTAGAAGAAGAAGCAGATGAGTAAGGATGGCAACTATAATCGAGTTTAGAAAGAACGAGAGAGGAATGTAAAGAGAGGAGTGTGCGCCTATCCGCTCCCAAAGAAG